TCAGAGAAGATATACAGGGTTAGAATATAAATTAAGGGGGAGCAATTCTTTTGAAATGATCCATGCTATTTTCAGGAATGAATTCAAATGTAGATTTTAATCCTATCTCAAAATAAAATTTTGTCTATGCTTCTTTGGTCACAGCAGATTTATTAATGACAAATGTAAATGTGGCATGATGGAAGCAAAAATTGCATCCAGATTTAAATCCAAACAATTTACAATGAGGAGTTGGAATTCAGTCTTTGATGAAGAAATCAAACTCAAAAGCTTCATGAGAATGTCATACAAATCAGAAATCTGGATTGAGGATTGATGCCAAGGTTGGAGATTCTGACACTCTGTTTGGCTATCTGAGGCTCATGTAGATTGGAAAATATGTTATACAGATGGTAATTTGAAATTTTACTGTCATTCAATCAGCATTTGATACATTAGCAAAACTTTCTTCAATTTCAGAACTGAAAAAAATGTTTTACTTTATATGGCAGTTTTTGATCCCCTTGGACTATAAGCTAAAAGCAAGCTGAGGAAAATTTCAATGTGAAAGGGAATATGCAGATTTTACATTGCATGGTACTTCAAATTTGAATGAGTTCAGTCAGTCTTACTTGCAGATTTTACCACCTCTTTCAGTTTCTTCAAAGTTTTCCAGATTTTACCACCTCTTTCAGTTTCTTCAAAGTTTTCTGATGCTTTTACTATTGTTTGCTACAATTATTTTCAATATCATTTGAATTGATTCATGATGATGATGTTATTTGATGTTATTGGCTTGTTTAAGAATGTTTTGATGTTATTTGATGTTATTGGCTTATTTAAACAAAAAGGATGATTTTCAGAAAAAAGTCCCTTTTTGAGTAGGAATTGACAGTAATCTGAATCAGGGAGACTGAGTTGTGATTGGTTGTAGGCCAAGAGCATGCTTGATGATAGCTCAGCAAACCGGAGGTTCATCAAATTTGGTGAGGCTCATCGAGGTTGGAATGAATTCAGATTGGATCAAAGCAATCAATTAAAGCGATCTCAAAGCGATGGCCTGGCCGCCTGTGTGACGATCAGCCCTTCACTTGCTGGGTGAATGGCCAGTTCACTCTCCAACATCGACGCCGGCGTTAGAAGCCGCATGAGAATTCAATACAAAGCTGAATTGAGGGTCGACGCCGAGGTTAGAAAGCCTGACGGTTTGTTTGGCCCTCTGAGGCTATTCCTTTAGTTATATGTACAGTGGCGCGCGGCATTGCACTGTACAAGGCTGCCCGCAAAACTTTTCTGGTCGCGCGGGGTTAAACCCCGACCCCGATGGGGGTCCAGCACTTGTAATAAGTGTGTTTTTGGAGTCTACAGGGTGTGTAGATTCCAAATCTAAAGTTGCAAACAATTTGGTCCAGCCAAAAAAAAAAAAACTTTTTTTTTCACTCGACCATTCGGACATAGGTCGTGTATGGGGGTCTTAGTACATACTTATGGGTTAGGGAGGTATCCTAATCCCATACTCACATGGCCAACTGTCAGCCAAAACCCATAAACATGAGCTTAAAGTGTATTTCACAGGTCAATTACAGCAGCTGTGACACCGGATTTACATCTCAACCCCCCAAAAACAGGCGAAAATCACAAAAAAATCCAAGTTTTGGGCCCCGACCTTTCGGACATCGCAAAACCTTGTACAGTACAATGCCACGCGCCACTGTAGATGTACCTTTCACAATGGGAAATGTGTACCAGCTGCTGATGTGTGAAGTAGACTAAATGGCTTGTCACACATTTTTGTGGTAGATCATTGATCTCATGACCATGAGGAAACATGAGGAAACTCACCCTGCTCGCATGGTGAGGTCATACTTGAATATTTCACTCCTTGTTGTCAAGTTTTTGTAATGAAACAGGCCTATATTTTGGGCTCTGAAGCAACTTTTTTTCCCCTGATGTTTTCCGATTCTGCAGTATCGCCCCATCGAGAATCGTAAATTTGTAATTCAACATCATCATCTTTCACGACACATCGGTACTTTGGAAGGCCTCCTTTTGTAGGATGTGGCCGTACAGAGTGAAAATAAGGAGAAGTCTCGGAGAGTGTTCTACACTTTTTTGCGGATATTTTAGTGCCCCATAGTATACTATTGCGGGTCTGCCCCACACCATTGCGGGTAGAAGTGTCCCAGACCATTGCGGGTGATAGTGAATTCGAAGGCCCCAATATAATCTTTAAGTAGAACCACTTGATGGCCGATATCTCTACCTGCTAGTAGATATTATCGGTTAATCTGACTGATTGGTGTTGTGGATTTCTCCCCGTTAAGCCCCGGTGGGAGGGCTTGTTATCCTGGGGAGTGTGGCTATAAAAACCTGACACAGTCCCCACTCCGGCCTGCCATCTCCTCACTCCAATCTGAATTTCTCTCTTGATCGAGATCTCAGAGAGCTTGCTTTCGCTGGATCTGAATAAATAGGTATTTACCTCGTCAACTCTCATCCCTTCGGCCCCATCCTCTGTTCTTATCAGTTCGCTGAGGCTCCTCTTCTCCTCAGTCATGGCTGGTAAGTCTTTGAGTGCTTCAATTATTCCCACTTCGCCGATCATCCCCAATGTTCTCCCGAGTTCCTCATGAACTACAGCAACGATATTCAAGCTCCCTCACTTCTTTGCTTGATGAGATCACATTGGAGCCGTTGAGCAGGAGGCAGTACTCTAGCAAGCTGGAATAGTTCATATCTATCGATCGGCTTGCCCTCATCTTTGTGTACCTCCGAATGCTCTCCTTACCCCTCAGAGCAAGGGTTCTTGTACTTCGCCGCTCAACACTGTCTAGATATCTTGGATGGTCGATTGTTGTTACACTTGTTGAGCTGTTGACTCTTTCACTCTGCCCTGATGTGTCTGGACCCATCACTCTTTTTCTTCGCTTCGTGAGCATGTGTCGCTCGTTTGAGGCTACAGTAATAAATAACCATCAAGGATGCATGTATCCACGATCAATCCAATCATGAGATAAAATCGTAGCCCAAGTTTCATCTAGACCGTCTCTGGCCGGTCTTCTTCTGGGCTCTAGTGCTCCAACCAGAATTGACCATGAGACTCATTCGCTCGACTCGTTCACTTTACCGACTGCACTCAACCCTGTCCCTCCTGGGCATGCTTCTCCCACTTGAGCCTACTCATCTCACATCTCCCCTCTCGTTCAAACAGTCCAAGGAACGGAGCGTAGAGTCGTGCTTACGTACCATCTTGAATCCCGTCTTCTTCCACAAAGATGACGAATCCTGATCGGCTGAAGTCTAATATCTCCTCAGCCGTAGACAGATTCCCCGCAGCTCTAGCGCTTAGTGTAGCTTGGTCTGGCCAGATGCCTGGACAATCTGCTATACAGAATTTTATGACTCCGTTCGTCGTGCTGAATTTATTTCTATTTTCTCATCATATCCCATCCCCCCATCAGTTTCATCAGCCCCATCGATTTCCTCTCAAGCTTCCACTTGTTTCTTCCTCCATGCGAATTTCGCATTCAGATTATTTCTCATAGTATCCACCTAAATATCTGAAACATATCCTTTGCTGACCTTCCTGTTGTTTTAAACCATCAATATTCCACCCGGGTCTTGATTCTTCCTCTTGAATGCCGGCAGCACCTTTATACACAACCGCCTCGGGCAGACTATGGCACGCAGGTCAGTCAAATTCTTATCCGTCTGCTCTCTCCTCCCCAATGTACAGCTTGATCATGATTTTAACACGCCTCAATATCTCAATTGCTTCATCATCACAGGTCTAGTGCTCATCTGCGTAGTCGGCTTACCGGCGCGCGGCAAGACCCATGTCTCCCGATCGATTGAACGCTACTTACGCTGGCTTGGAGTCAAGACTGAGGTTTTCTCCTTGGGCGATCACCGTCGAAAGGTGATGGGAGATCCGCAAGAGCTCCCGGCTGACTACTTCGCGACCGATGGGACTCAGAGTGAAGCCACTCAAGCCATGCGTGATAGTATCAGGCGAAGCCTGCTCCGTTTGGTCGATGATTTCTTCCACCATGGCGGACAAGTAGCCATCTATGATGCGAATGTTCGTCCCTGTTCTTCTGGATGCTGACGCCGCCGAAGATTGCAGTCCGGCTGAGAAAATTTTTCTCTTGGCCAATTTTATCGTTTTTGTAGAATGGAACTCGAGCCGGTCGTCAACAATTGCGCCAAGAGTTTGAAAACAAAGGCGTGCATGTGATGTTTATTGGTATGCCGCCAACTTGTCAACCCATTTTTATGATTCTCGTCCTCTGAGCGCTACCATGCTTGTTTCCATTAGAAAACGTCTGCGACCAAGATGATATCATCGAGAAGAACATCAAAGCCGTGAAGATTTCTTCGCCCGATGTAAGATTTTTTCCACTCTTTTTTTTTTCATTGATCCTGATCTAACTCCTGACAAATCCTTGTCATTTCCTTAGTATAAAAACTGGGACCCCGAAGCCGCGACTGCTGATTATTGGAAACGTGTCAGGGACCATGAGAAATCTTACGAACCCATCGAGCAGCCCAGCTTCCCATTTGTCAAGGTAATCAATGTTGGGGAAAAAATTGTGGTGAGTACCCCTTCAACTTTTACATTGAGGTATTTGGTTTAAGATATTTTCACCATGTCTGGTTTACAGGTGAACAACATATCCGGCTACTTGCAATCTCGAATTGTCTTCTATTTGATGCAAATCCAGTTGAGTAGCTTGTGTGGAATGCACCCGGTTCCCAAAAACAATTATTAACCACTTCTTGACGGGTTGACAGTAATAGCTACCGCACCATCTGGTTCGCACGATCCGGGCCATCCAGAATTGAGCATTCTTACAAGGCAGACTCTGAACTTTCCCCGCTTGGTGAGGAGTACGCCGAAAGATTGTGCAGGTTCTTAAGACAACGACGCCGAGTGGTCAAAAGAGAAGGCGAGGTAGAAAACCGCCTGACCGTTTGGACCAGTTCCAGACGTAGATGCATCCAAACTAGTGGCCCAATGGCTAAAGCGGGCTACAAAGTACTCGTAAGATCCCAGATGAACGAGGTCAGTCTATCTTGCCGCAGAAAAATGCTGGTCCGCTTGCTTTTATAGCTGATGATAGATTTCATTGATCATCAGATTAATCCCGGAGTTATTGATGGCATGTCGGTGGCCGAAATCAAAGAAAAGTATCCTGATGAATACGAGAAATCTTTGAAGGAACCGTATGCTCATCGATACCCTAGAGCGGAGTCTTATCACGACTTATCGGTTCGCTTGGAGCCAATTATCTTTGTAAGTCCTCACCCTGCATCCATCCAACCTTTTTCTCACCCGCCTGGACTCTGATACAATTGATTCAACCTATCTAACAGGAAGTCGAAAGGGATCGCTCTGATTTGTTCATCATCGGTCACGCTAGTGTGATCAGGTGCCTGTTCGCCTATTTAAAAGGCCTTCCGGGTGAGTTTATTTCCCAGCCATATCAACAGAAATTTAGCCTCCAGCTCAGATTGACATTTGCATCCCGCTAGCACACGATATTCCCTTGGTTAGCATCAGACGAGGCCAGTTGATCGAAGTAACCCCAACTTCTTACGGTGTCCAAGCCAGAACTCACACCTTTTGGACCCCGTCTGACAACCCTGTGTTGGAAAAGTTCGTGAGCGGTAAGTGTATCAATCAAATCAATGCAAAAGTTGTGGTCGTAGTTTCTTAACGAGTCTTAACTCTGCTTAGATGAAGACGCCTTCAACCACGCTCCGGAGTCCGAGCAAAAAGCCGAAGAGCTAAACAAAGCCATCGCGCCTTTGGCCATCTGACCGATGTCCATGAACAGCCATGGAGAGCTATATCTGGCCTCCATCAACTATATGCCCCCACTCTTCATTTACTTACTATACTCTTTTCATTAATATAAAATCCCCTGCTGTAAACACGAGGCCAGTTGAAAGCTATCGATAGCTCTTCAAACTATATGGCGGAGTTGGTCTGGTAATACTCTTACCTCTCCGGGTATGAGCCTGTCTATGTTTCTTTATCTCCTCAGATGTCGTTGTATCCACCACGTGATAGTTATCAAGAACAGAAAGAAATTATAAGAGCTTGAATTGTGTTTCTTGGCCATGTTGAAACTGACATGCATGTGGAGATCTGAGCTGGAGTAGGCCTCGGAGTTCAAGATAAAAATTATGGGACAAAGCATCTCAATCACACCTCGTTGTGTCCAGTTACTAATACTTGCCTCAAAAATGCGTATAGATGTCAGTTTTCCTTCACCAGAACACAGTGAATTTGTCCTGGGTTTGAAAATTGGAGATTCCAAGTTCGCACCAGATGAAAGTGTGATACAGTGGCATATGACATGCCACTGTACGCGCCTCTCCTCAAAAAAACACAATCTTTGAAGAATTACTGAGCATGTAATACTCATGCTAAAAATACATGCTGTGCATTTTTTGGAAACTACAAATGTATTGGAACACAAAAATGTGTAGTGAAACAATGTAGCAAGCCCCCATGAAAACAATTTCAGGTGATTGAGGCATTATTTTGGCATTTACTACATCTTTGTGTGTTCTCCTAATTCTGTAGTTTCTGATCATGCAAACTACATCATTTTAGAATAGGTATCACATGCTCTGTAATTACTCAAAGTCCGACTTTGTTTGCAGAGAGGTGTGTACAGTGGAATGCCACACACCACTGAACATTGACTGACTTTGATTGTGGTGTCATAATAGGTTTAAACTGTGTGGATAATTGTATCTCAAATGAACCTGGTTTCTCTGCATGTGCAGTGACCTACCAAGCTGTGTGGCCTGGACATCAATAGGAAGTCCCTCAATGTTTTGTGAAACATACAAAGTATGTTTTTATCAATTTTGAAAAACTCAAAGATATAATTGATTTTTCATGACAAAAACTGAATCTTGCTGGAAGCTGATGAATTGAAAGGCCTCCTCAGCCTTGGATGGGAGACAACTACATTATAAGGGGAGAAAAAAGCACTTCCAAGGGCTGCAGGATCATATTCAATCAGTGTTAAAATTTTGAGCTCTTGACCGGCTGAAGATGAAGACTTTGAGAAAATGGCACAAAAAAAGCAGGGGACCTTTTTTGAGAAAGGTTCAAGGAAAATGAGTGTAAAGAACCGATGGTTTTTTATTCACTGTAAGTAGGCAAGCTTAAGTAGACTAAGTACAAGTGTTCAAAAAGTGGTTTGAGAGAAAATGAATAAAAAAGAATATTGAATAAAAACTAAGAGAAAGAATATATTGAGTTCTTGGAAGAAACAATCTCGGCAGGACTTCTCAGTCTCTTTTAGTCAGGCCAGAAGAGTTAATCAAGAAAAAACAAGAATTCTATCACAAATATTCAGAGGCTTTAATTCTAAATAATTAGCTTTTAATGAATCAAATAATAAACTAGAAAAAGAAAGAAATCATTCTTCAGAACTAGAGTTGTATGATAAATTGCCACAGGAGTTCTAATTAGACTTCAAGTGTGCATAAGATTCAACAAAAAACTAGGCAAGATTGACTATAATTCAGTCCAGTTTAGGATGACTCCAGAAAGAAAAAGGGAGAAAAAGATGAGAAGAAAAGAGGGTGATTTTAGGGAGGAGTAGACCAAAGAAGCTGAAAACTCAACAATCAGCTGGTATATGTGGGACAGGATATGGCAGATAAAAAAACAAAAGAAAATATATGAACATTCAGGATATCTCATTTGGTCTGCTGCTGCATAACAAAATTCTAAACCCATTGAAGTCCAAGAATCAAAACTGATAGCAGAGAAAAAGTTGAATACATAGCAATAAACATCACAAGGATTTGGTTTCATCAGATATTTTTGGCAGCTCATATGACTATCTTCATCACACAAGATTTATATGTATTCCCATTAATTCACTATTACTCCATGCTGTTTTGGATAGAGATGTCGCTTGATACCCGGGTACCTGTAGCGGGTGCGGGTACCTGCCTCAAAAATCCAATATTTTTGACACCCCCGCACCCGCACCCGCACCTGCTAGGGCCACCAGGGCGGGTACCCGGGTACCTGCTCCGGGTACCTGCGGGTACCTGGCACATTTTTGCAGGCAAATTTACCCAGAAATCTCACCCTTGAATTTCTGCATGACTTGGTAAATATAAGATTGATATTCACTAGATATATGAGTAAGAATAAAATAAAAATAAAGAAATAAAGAAAAAAAAATATTCTATCACCAATTTGAATTTTATCTTCTCTCTGATCTATCTTTAGCTTGGCCTCATTTGCCTTATTCAATTTCCATTGATGAAGACTGTACACCGTCTTTATGACTGGAGGAATTCCTCCAGTCATCAAGACTGTACACCATCTCAAAGGCTGGAGGGAACCCTCCGGCCTCAACAAATCAACCAGATTAGTTCAGCAACACATGTAGGACACAAGCTGGTGTCCTACATGGGTTGCTGACACCTTTGTGCAGCCCAACACACCCAAAAAGGGAGTGTTGGACCACCAATGATAAATTAAATTCTTCAGGGGAAGCATTCCCAGGGCAGGTGTAAGACAGGTACCCGGGTACCTGCCCTTTTTTTACCGCAAATGTTGACACCCGCACCCGCACCCGCACCTGTTTTTACTGCAAATGTTGACACCCGCACCCGCACCCGGTACCTGTTTCCGGGTACCTGCTATGGAAAACAGGTACCTGCAAACGGGTACCTGTTGGAGTGTCATGCACTGTGTTGTTTTCTCTCTCCTTTTGTCTCTGCTTCCAACCTTTCTATCATGTGTCACACATCTGTGAAACCCATGTAGGTAGTCATCCTAGGCCAACAGTGTGTACGTGGAAGGCTCTTTTCCTCATCCTTCCACTAACTCTCTGTCCGGCCTAGGTAAGTCTAGTTGTTCTTCTTTTCTCTTTCTCTTCTTTCTTTTTCTCTCATGACTATGCAATGAATCATCCTTCCACTAACTCTCTGTCCGGCCTAGTTCATTGCAACAGTACCGGGTACCTGCAAATGGGTACCTGCTGACATCTCTAGTTTTGGACTTAGTTCAGAAGATTTTACTTTGGATTAAAAGGGAAATGAAATGCTCTTAATTAAAAGGGCATTGAAAGAAATCAAATGTGAAACAACTCTTCTTCTCCTATCAGATTGGATGTTGCTTTTTTTCTGGGTTTAGTGAAAGGTATTGGCAGGGGATGTGTCCTCTGGTAGTGTTTATGAGCTTTGACCATTAAGCAGTGAGGCATTCTGAGGGGCACTCGGGCACATTTGCGTGGGTACCATCTTCTTCAGCCATTTCACAAATGCCAATGATTGCTATGTTGGCAAAGCACCTGTCACAACGCGGCTGTGCCACAGGTTTTACTCCCATGCATGGTCCTACTGGAAATCCGTGTTCACACTTCATTATGTGCTGGCATGTCTGGCCAGGTTGATGAATGATTCTGTCTATTTTACCCAGTGGACATGCGCGGAATGACTTCCCAAGTAGTGAACTCAATTGTGTTTCAAATGTTTGAGGTTCTGCAGCTTGTGGGCTGATTGATGTTTCACCAATGCGTACTTTGGCTGCAGAAACAATTGCTGCAACAATGAATGATTGTATGACCAGGGCCTGAAATACAGTATGGGAAAATATTTCAAATCTCATTGGGGGAGGATCAACTCAAATTCAAGTTGGGGAAAATTTCAGAGGTTTCACTGGGGTGGGAATACAGTTGGGAGCTAGAGCGTTTTGAGGATGTTGGGGAATTGAACCAGGAATTTTATTTGAAGACAACAGCTATGAAGTTTGATTTAGACCACTTGACTACTTTGCCTACACCATGATTATGTCATGACTGCTAGATATAGCTAGCTGGACTCATCTTACCCAGGGACACCACTGTAAAAGAGTCTTGAGTGATACCTTTGATTGTTGTGCTACACTGATATGCAGATTCTCACACTGGTGCTCTTCCCTGGGTTTGATAATTTGAGATTCAAAGATGAAAAAGATTAAAATTTGATTCATTGGCTGATTTTGATTTTGATGCCACAATAGCCCAGTTGATGTAGGGGCTCAATTGCAAATAAATAATGCACCATTTGGCAGAAATATATGACTATTTTTCCTGAAATTGAACTTAAAAAATTCTGATTGAGGCTCCTTAGCAGTGACAATATTTTTGAATCACTTCTTCCATGTTGACCAATTTTGAAATACTAGCTTTTAAAATGAAGGACAAGATGTTTGAATGTTGTTGTTGGAGCTACCAGGTGATTTCCCCATGCTTTTGAATGCCTAATCTTTGAATATATAGTCTTATAATATTAGTGGCCAAGTTTAGACTCTTCCTACACCAGGAAAAAACAATAGTCACTTGTTGACAGGTGACAATGAGCAACAATGGTGATTTTCCTGTTCCATTTCCTGTTGTACTACAACTTGCAAGTGGACTAAAATGGCCCCTTTTTACTCTTCAGGGTCTGTAAGGACTCACAAGGGGGGATATGATGGGTAGCAGGCTGAACTTGGTCTAATTTCACCTGTCATATAGTGATCATTTATTTTTCCTGTAGGAATTTGATATGTTTTACTTTATTACAGCGCACTGAACAAACAAAGTCCTTGGTGTACTTTGTTAAGTTTGATGTGAAATCTGATCAGGTCTTCCAGAACTTCATCAGATGTCACAAGAATCCACATTTTATTGCTCAATTAAATTGGTGCCAAACAATGCCTAAATTTACAATAAGCACAGTTTGTGACATCTTGCTAGAATTTTGGCATAATACCACACTAGCTTAAGCAATATTCCTATGAACCAGTAGCCTCATCGAACACAAGTTCCATAAAACAGCCCTACATGAGCCATGCCAATGTCAATATGCTAAACTTTATTTTTAATTGTATATCAAATGAAGGTGCATGGTGATTTCCTACGTATGTACAGTGATCATAAAAAGTTATCTGCCTGCCAGTTGTATTCCCTCCTTATTGGATTCTCTGTATTCAGTCCCACCATCAAACTACATTACTGGTCACTCCTTAATATGATCAGCCACCCAATATTGAGGTTTTCTAATTATATCCACTTTTACAAATATAATAACAAATCTTATTAAGGAAA